ACTTGCCAACATTGTAGCCAAATTATCTGGTGAGGACACTGACTGGCCTATTTTTAAAGAGGTGGTAAAGAGAAAATTTGGTTTCACTTCGGAAATACTGAGGCAGAACTTTAGAAAACTGAAAAAGCAGCCTAATGAGTGTTATTCTGCACTAGCTGACAAAATAGAACATCTAGGTGATCAGTGGTTGAGCTCCTTGGGCGTCAGTATCTTTGAGGATTTAAGAACTGCGTTGTACATGGAGCATTTTCTTAATTTAGTGCCTTCAGAAATAAGGAGTACTTTGTTGGAGAGAAACTACAAAGACTTGCAAACCCATTGCAGATCTATCTGGAACCAGTTACCTTGGGAGTTGGTGATGCTCCAACACTGGAGGCATTTCAAGAAAAACTTGGATAATCACCTGGCAGATATGCTTTGATTGTATTCCTGCACTGAGCAGGGAGCTGGACTTTCATGGCCTTGTAGGCCCCTTCCAACTTCACTTTTCTATGATTCTATAAAAAAACACAACATCTTCCCCTTAGTACTCACAGCTTGGGTGCCCATGTCTGTCTTGACCCACCCAGGATGAACTGCACTGCACAAAATCCCATCCTCCTTGTAACTCAGAGACTGGCATTTTGTCAGCATGTTAAGGGCAGCCTGTGAAGAAGAGGGGAGAAGTGGGGGGGGGAGAGAGAAAATGATTGTGAGACCACAGAGAAAAACACTGCCTCTGTTCTCAAAAATCAACCATAAGACTGGAAATCGGGTCTCTGTCATAAATTACACAGGGAAAAATCAAAATTTGCCATGAAGAGTATCTTCTATGGGAATTTACAGCAAAGCTGGCCTAAACAAACTGTTTCCTGCCCTAGAAGAGTCAGACTGTCAAGTTATTTGGGCACATAGGTCAGAACCCTTTTGCTCCTGTCCCTCCCCACCTCCATCCATTCTGGTAGTAAAAACAAAAACACACACTAATTTAGTAAAAAAATCAGTTTCCTACCCCTTTTAATGTCCTTTTAATATGCCCAAGCCCTGTCATCTTAGGCTGTGGTCACACCAGCAAAATGTCCCCCTATGATTACACAAGTTTTAATTGCTTTTCTGTTGTACTTTGAGGCCATGTGGTATCCATTTCAGGATGTGTGTCCCAATCTGTTTTTGGATCACCAAGTCATTTCCTTCCAATTCACTAAGTGCCTAGAGCTTCTTGTTGAGATGGCTTGACAGAAATTAATGGACACATCAACACAAATGCCATGGATTTTTTTTAAAAAATTAAAAACATTTAAAAAGGACATGCAGTGACAGTTCAAAAAAGTTACAATAAGATCATTCACATATGCAGCAATGCAACATTATTTTTAAAAGATTTTTTAAAAAGTAGAAGTCTCTGGTCAAGCGAGAAACGATATGTAGGTAGCACACTTGCTGGGTAAATGATTTGCCAATGGCCATATATCACGTGACAGCAAATTTAAATTGTGAAATCAAAGGGAGAGAACTGGAAAACATTTTGTTGGTGGGGTCACAGCCTGAGGGAGCTGCCCCTGATGGGGCCAGTCTTGAACTGCATCCAGTTACAGGCTTCTGATATGAGTCTGTCCACACTGGCATATAGTTATATGGTTCCCTGAAAACACTGTTTGGAGCTCGGGGAAAAACCTTTATCTGCCTGTGTTTCTACTTAAAATGATCCATTAAGAGCTGGCCTATATCTTCCTGGCACAGAGCTAGGGCACACAACCTTTTTTGGGGATGATTCACTGAGATGCAAAACAATTCTGGTAAAACAGATTGCACTTGTAAGGACCTTTTAAATACCAGCGGAATCACACCAAATTTCACAGTGTAGACGGACCGATTCTTGAGTTTTCGCACAGTTTACAAAAGGAAAGCATGCCCCATCTGCTCACTTACAAGTACTGTAGCATAGAAAGTAGGCTGGAAGCTACAGTACCTCATTTCTGCATAAGAGATCGCACCTACCTTGCTACATCGGTAGGGAACTGCAGGTTTAATGTAAGTATGTGAGACTAATTCAACTGAGCCCATGGAAGAGGAGATATTAATAATGGCCGCCCTGCTGCAGCTGAGCCCCTTCTGTGAACCTCCTTTGGCTGCCATCTTTAACAAAGGCAGGAAAGCCTGAGATGGAGAAAAAACACGAGGTGAATAACATGGGAAGGAGCAGACTCACCTGAAATCAATCTGCTTCCATCCAATGCATTCAGTACACTTCATTGTGTAAAGTATGGTTTCCAATTATATTCTTCATTTACCTCAGAGTTCAAAGTTTTAGAATCCCTTTTGCCACTTTAATTTATTATCCCAGTCCATGTAACATAGGTAAATAAGACTTCATTAGGGACTTTTTTAAAAAAAATTCTGAACAGAAAATACAGTAGGACTCCCATATCCATGGTATCAATATCTGCAGTTTCACTTATCTGCAGCCTGAAAATATTAAAAATATGAAAGGAAAAAAAATGAGAAAAAAGCATTTTCATGGCTACTCGAGGGAGTCAGAGACTATGCTGTGTAGTCTTTGTTGTCCCTCTAGTGGCCATTTTGTGTAACTACAACATGAAAAAAAATTCTGTTTTTTTCCTTTTACAGTGTTACATATAGTGTTGACTATCATCTGTGATTTTCAACATCTGTGAGGGTGCTTGAAACCAATCCTCCATGGATACAGGGGCCCTACTGTATCACAGTTCTCCATTCTGGGAGTACTTAAGATACAATGTGATGCACATGCAGGAAAGGCCTGAAGCTCAGAAAGCATGCTCCCAGCTAGCATCAGGTAAAAACAGGAAGCTTCGGCAGAGCCAGGCTTAAGAACCTTCCACGTTCTCCCAGATGCGTCGTGTTTATTTGTTTGTAACTTAGACAGAACTTTCAGAATGGGAAATCATGGCATTTGGAGCCCAGAAAATTCTATCCTTATTTTTCATAGCTGCACAGAGGCATTAGACATACTTTAGTTTGCCACCAGGCAGAGGTGTGAGTCACTGATGTCGAGTTTGCCCCCAGCAGACACTGTCATTGAGGTAAGTTGGCAGGCATGTGAGCAGACAGGCAGAGAGATGGTGTGTTGAGCCTCGGGGACTTAGGCGGGCAGGTGTGCAGGCACAGAGACTGTCACTGGAACCCTACCTCTTTGGGCTTTCTCTCGACACTGGTGGGAGGGGTTGAAAGGAGGTCCATGGTCACAGTGGACAGCTGTGTCCATATCACCACTTTCTGGGAGCTGAAATGGAGTGGGTCTGGTTCGGAGGGCTCCGCAAAGTACTCCTACACCATCGTCTCTGCCGGGTCCTCCTCCGCCACCTGTCTGTCCTCCGAAGCAACCACCCAGACCATCACAGAGTTCCAATAATAGGGACTGGGGCCCTCACCAGCAGAAGTCCCTGCCTGTGGTTCCTACAAACCACCCTCACCTGTCTCCGATTCCTGCCCTGGCATCCCCGGGTCCCCATGCATGTGTCATGTGCCCAACGTCCTGCAGACCTCAGCAGAGAGCTCCATTCTCCACTCCTCAAGCCAAGCCCCCTTGATTTGGGGATCACACAGGCAAGCCATGTGGTAAGCTTTGTCCCTGCGGGCAGGATGGATTCACTTCCACATATCTGCCTGTGACCTCTTCACCAAGACGCCGGTCTATGGAAGGAGGGAGGATCCCGGTGCCAGAGCAGACTCCAGGGACCAATCGAGGGCATGAATCAGGGGAATGACCTGCCCCAAGCTTTCCATGTAACCACAAAGTATATCAATGGTTTCTTGGAAGGGCTTGAGCACCTCTAACATCTGGGAGAGGATCAGCCAATCCGTGGCACTGATGCCCACCTCCCTTTCCCTAGGCAGAATGGGCATGGAGGACATGATGTTCTCCAAAAAGGCCTTCTGCTCCACCAGGCTGGACACCACAGTGTAGGTGGAGTTCCACCTGGTTGACGGGTCTGGCAGAAGAACATGTGTCTCCTGCCCCAACTCCTACTGCCTCGCATGCAGCCAGAAGGCAGCTTTCAGTGGCCCACCAGTTGGCAGCATTGCTCCAGGAGTGCCCACGTGCCCCAAGTGCCTTCTTCCCACTCAGGCTTGACATAGCTGCCCAGGCCAATGGCATCACACACTATCAAGTCTAATTTGTGCGCCATGCACACAATGCCCTCAATGCCCACTGCATTCAATGCTGCCAACAAGTTGCAAGTGACAAAAGAGATCTGAGGTCTGGAACTGAGACCTCACAAGACATTGCAAATAACAAGTTATTGTGATTCCTTTCCCCCCCAATACTAAAGCAAAACCAAGTTACACTGCAATTGTAACAGCACAAGCAATAACTTAACTGTTTTGTGGTATATGTTAAAGCTATAATTGTTCAATAAATAAAGCTATAGCAGAAGCTTTAAAATTTAGCTTTAAAATTATGGGCACTATTTAGATGTGTTTTCTACCATGGGTTATCCCAATATCATATTTGTTGAAAATAACTATTGAAACTCTTTGTTTTATAATGAAAAGATAATTATTTTTGCAAGCTAAACAGTAACTAGTTGCTTATGGGGGAAGGCCAGAATTATCTTATTTTTTAAAAAAGTATCAAATATTGCCAAACCATACCTGGCTTACTAACAGTGGCCCAATCACATTGGTCTTGTACTCATTTAGCATGTCTTCAGGATGTGCAGCTTCCAGTGATAAATCGGTAAAAATGGCAGCATTGTTTATCAATACATTAAGCCCAGTGCCTTTCAAATGGCCCTCAACGTAAGTGGCTGCTTCCTTAATGGTCGTGGGATCTGTAACATCTATGAAACAGGAAAAGATGAGATGGTCAGGAAGGGAAAGAATCAGAAAGAGAAAGTAGATACTCCTTCTAAACTGGCCTATAAAGTGTTGGATATATTGAAACCAATATGATGCCTTAAGAGGTTTTGACTTTTCTGGACTGGGTTTGCTATCAAACAACTCTATAGCAACTGGTAGTTCTTTCTCTACCTCAGATTCCTTTTCCTGCCTTTTTTCGAGTCAGGGTGAAGCCAGAGTTAGCAACGGAATCTGTTAGAAGTGGCCAGTTAGAGCTAAATGTTCGGTCATCTATGTTAACAGTCAGTCAATCAGTAATGAAGCTAGTTAACCAGTTACGCTCAAGTGATGTAACAAGTTAATATTTTTACACAAGATCGTTTGTTTTAACATATGAAGAACTGTAATTAAACGGAAACATTTTATTCTTTCTCATTACCAAAGTCTCTGAGTGAATTACTGAGGCAATAAGTACCAGTTGAGGTAGACTAACAAACAAGGGGTGGACTACTGAGGGAGACTTGTAGCTCAGTCTGCTTTATACTGAACCATTTTATTAGCTACATAATTAGGAGGAAGTTATATTTTAATTTTTAATTATGCTACACTCAGTTTCCTCACACACAAGATAAAATCTTCAGCTTCCACAAAATTAACTTAAATGACTGCATTTTTGTTGTGATTTGGTACTTCTTATAAGCAACCTTATTTCATTTCTATACTGCCCCACTAGTGCATGCACTGATTTACCCAGCTGAATAAGTTGTCAAATTACTTAATACATAAAATGCCTCAGCCCTTTTGATGATTCTACAGATTTCTAGTCCTAAAAATGTGTAAACCTGTCTTCCTGCTTGTCTCTTTCTGTGAAAGAGATATAGAGAAGCGAGAAAGTGGAGACTGAGCCATCCCCTCAACAAAAGATACCCGTGCATGATGAAGTTGTGAGAGTGGAAGGGGTATTAGACAACAACAAACTGGGTTGAAGGAAGAGGAAGAAAAAAAGAGAGGAAAAGGAAAGAGAGGAAAAGATTGGGGTTTGTTTGGTAGAGGAGAGAGAGAGAGAGAGAGAGGAAGATATAAAAGATCAGTGGGAGAAGACAATTTAGAATACTGGGAACATCAAAGGGGAGACAGGATAAAGAAGTATGTTAAATATAACAGAATGAAAGGAATGTTGGATGGGGGCAGGGTTGTTGGAAGAAGGTGGTCTGGCCGGACTCCTCGTTCAACAGTCCACCTCCGGAAGGCGACTGGGCCAGACATCTCTCTTGTGGGACCATCTGCGCAGTGAGGAGTGCACCCCTGAGGAAACCCAACGATCGAGAACGGTTTGGACCAGCCCCTTCATAAATCGTGTTGATTCAAGGACCAATTTATTGACTCCTCATTATGGACAGTTGTCAGACATTAGTTTATTAGAACTGGTTGGGGTGATAGTTGATTCACCTAATGTTAAGTTCAATAAAACCGCTGATGTTCAAAAAGAGAATCCCTCATTATTTCCCGCCAAAAGAGAGGAACTGCTCCATATATATGACAAACCTGATCATTTGTAGGTTCTCTTGCAGCCTAAACGTCTTTTTCCTTCCAGTTGCACCCTTTCCTTCAAAAGCTCTCTCCACTGGTGTTCTCCAATCAATAATGTCAAAGAGGCTATGAAAAGGTTGCTGGTCTACGGTCATTTGCTAATTTCAGGTCTAAGCAAGCCATATTCCAATACTACAAATAACATGCTAAAAGCAATTCTCTTCCATTTTACAAAACTTCAAAACTGGAAATAATTGCCACTCCCCACACACATGACCAGAGAAGTGACTGATTACAAAGCTCAACACATTTTTTTCACTGACACCCAACTGAAGGTAGCTATCAGAACTTTATCAATCATTCATATGCACGTACATAAAAGGAGACTGCTTATAATCAAGAGCTATACGGAGGAAAAAGGAACTCTAAATACCAGTGCCTAATAATGGAAGAGAACACACAAACAGTATGATTAGGTTGGACACAAATACAGTAAATACCTCAGTCATTGAGGCCTTGCCTAGCACTGTTCAAGAGTGGCATGATCCAGCCGGCGGGCATTTTGTGCCACTTGAAAGTAACAAGTGCATTATTGTTCCACTATCCAGATACACTATTTCTATTGTTTTTTAATCTATCCCATAGGGCATCATTTACTGTTTAATGCTCCATTTTCTATGAATGTATTAACAGAGCTAAGTGGGGGAGATCCAGTTAAAAAGATGGGGGACAACGCCCCCAATATCATTTTGAGCACTGGTTAATATTCCGTTTCTGTTTAATACAGTCTCTTACCCATGGCATCTGTACTACCCAAACTCCTGAAGAATATCAAATATCATTATCAATTTTATGTGCATCATGATCTCCTTTACAGTTGGGATGAGAAATGAGTGGCTCTCCAGATACTCTTAGATGGCAACTTCCCTCATTCCTCGCCAACAGCTATGTAGGCTAAGACTGCTGGGAGTTGCAGTTCAACAATAAGCTCTCCTATTTTACTGCAAATCAAAAGCATAGGAAGAGAAGAGCTCTCAGGTCTACTGTTGAGCAACGTGAAGCATAACAAAGTGTGAGAAAGATATCATACCCAGTTTCACCATCGTAACATTTGGGTGGTTAGAAATCAATGTCCTCAACTCCTGAAAAATCAAAGACATGAATAAAAGCAGGAGAACAAAGAAATGACTACCATTTGAGACATAGTAGAAGCTCTCAAATATTAAGGAGCTTTTCATAAGCTACTCTTATTTATCACTATCATATTTATTTATTTCATTTATTCCATCTTTCTGCTGATGAAGAGATCTAAGGTGGCTTAAAATGATCTTTTAGAAGATTCTAAATTAAAATATTAACGTGCAATTAAACATATATTAGTAGAAGGTAACACGAAATAATTATGGAAATTTCAAAGAAAAAATGGAGCATCTCCCATTAAAACCTCCATTCACCAGAGTCCATTTCACTATCAAATGCTTACCCAAAGAGAAAGATCTTTGCCTTTCAACTTTTAAAAATAATATGAAATTATTATTACTGGATTACATGATCCAGTGGCAGCTAAGTACTTAAAAGTACTGTTCATAACAGTGGGAGAGAGCTAAGCATGCACTTAACTTCCTAATAGTTTCATTGTACTAAATTAAGATCTGAACCAACTGCTCCATGTATGATAAAAATCTAAGGAATTCAAGGGAGAAAAGACTACTCTAGCGTATAGGATCTTTACCGTGGAATCCTACTATTTTAACACATTTTTGTTTTATTTCCTAAGGCGCTCTGAGCAGTATGCTTTCTTCCCATACCCATTTTATCTTTACAACATGGGCTGGGCACAGTCCTGGTCAAAGTCCGTTGACTCAAATAAACCTATTGTACAGTGCAATTAATGTTGAAATGTAGTTTGGGAGATCCAGATTAAACTTAGGTATGAAACTCACTGGCTAACCTTTGAATGGTCAATATAGAGAGCAGGACTTGAGAGACCCGAGTTGAAAACCCCTGCTGTAACTCACTGTTGGCAATGGAAAAATCATTCCTTAAATGTCTCACTTACCTCAGAAACTCTACCAGTGTCCACATAAATCAAAGTCCCTGCTACATTTAGAGCGTATTATTACCTGGGGGTAAGCAACCCCCCCCCCAATAATTCCTGGAATGGAATTCCTAGATTGGAACAGGCAGTAGGAGAAACACAAGACTGTCCCGAAGCATTTCTGCCCACCTCACCCCCACTCCTTCAGTTACACTACTAGGAACTGCTGCTGAGTACTATCAGTAAGTCCCTCGCTCGCACTCGTCCCCATAGGTGGTCCACGCACACACCTGCCCGCGCTGCCCGTCCGGCTGGCGGCTGCAGACGAAGAGGTGCTGGGGCGGGTCGGGGCTGCTCAAGAGCTGCCGAACCAGCTCCAAGCCGATCCCGCGGTTGGCTCCAGTTACCAGGACGCTACGCGCTCCCAGTCCCGCCATGAGCTCCTGACCTTGGGCAGCCCGACCGAGGAAGCAGCTGGCACGCGACGCTCCCTCTGAGCTCATTCGGCCCTTGAGGGCCGCCTCCGCCGCCTCCCTCTATTCCCGCCACGTTGCGCCCCCTACGGCGGCACGTGGGAACGGCGCCTTTCTAAGCGTCTGAAAAAGAATCCTGAGGGTGAGGTCTGAACAATTTCGCGAGGTGCCTGCTTTGCATTTTTCCTGAATGCTCCTTTTCCCCTCTCCTTTGGTCACTGGAATGATTTTCTTTTTTAAAAAAGGGAGGGCATTTTTTAAAAATAGCCTGAGCAAAGCTGCAAGATTATTTATACTATGGTATTCCTGATTACAACCTACAGATGTGAAAGTAGGACAATGAAGAAAGCACTCTCTGGGCGGTTTACAAGTTAATTATGCAGGCTACACATTGCCCCCCCCCCAGCGAGCTGGGTACTCATTTTACTGACCTGGGAAGGATAGAAGGTTGAGTCAACCTTCAGCCGGCTACCTGGGATTGAACCCCAGGTCGGGAGCACAGTTTTGGCTGCAGTACAGCAGTTTAACCACTGCGCCACAGGGCTTCCTTACTATCAACAAAGTTACTCTTTTTGCCCTGTAAGGTCTTGGTTAACAAATTACGTTTCTGAAAAATATCTCTCAGATAAAATCTGTCTACAAGTTTTTCTCCATGCTCTTTATCAGACATGAAGGAAACTATGGTGTCCAAGAATGTAACAAAACACTGAAGGCAGTTTCCCTTGGAAAGCCACCTAACCTTTGTATGCAGCACCAGTGTCTGGAAGTCTTCATTATTTTCTTCACATACAGTGGGGTCTTGACTTGAGAACTTAATCCGTATTGGAAGGCGGTTCTCAAGTCAAAAAGTTCTCAGGTCAAATCTGCATTTCCCATAGGAATGCATTGAAAACCATTTGATCCGTATTTGCTCTTTTCCGTCCATAGAAACTAATGGGAAGCTGCTATTCTGCCTTCGACCACTAGAGGGGGATATTTTGTTTCTTTTTTTCTTAGGTCAAGAAAGATTCAGGGAAGGCAGGGAAAATACAGTCCAGGCAGTACCAGGCAGTCTGAAGACTCCCAATCCACTCTCTAAACGCTGGGAGGAGTGAGGAAGCAGACAGGCACCCTTTTCACTGGCCAACAGTTAATTGAAAGTTCAAATTTTGCAATTTCCCTGCCTCCCACGTGGTTTTTTTTCAGTTCTTAAATCTAAGTATGTAAGTCACGTCAATATTTTCCTATGAGAGTGGTTCTTAAGTCAAAATGTTCTTAACTCGAGCCGTTCTTAAGTCAAGACCCCACTGTAGCTGCTGGAAAAGACAATCCTGAAGTGCATGGGATTTGATGAAATTCACGGCCTTTAGGACAACTTACAGTGAATATTGAGGCATCCTCCCAAGTCCTTCGATTCTAGGTGCTCCGTGTGAATGATGCAATGAATAGTAAAGACAGAAAGTATAACTCGTTTTAGATGGCCAATGAATCCTCTGTATCGACAAACCATTGAAGCAGCACCATCAGTTGCTCAAGCAATTATAAAGTGGTGCCTCGCTTGACGAGGATAATCCGTTCCAGCAAAATCGCTGTAGAACGAAATCCTTATCAAGCGAAATGAAAAAGCCCATTGAAATGCATTGAAAACCGGTTCAATGCGTTCCAATGGGTGAAATACCTCAACGTCCAGCGAAGATCCTCCATAGGGCAGCCATTTTCTGGTGCCTGTCTTGTGAAAAAGCCTTCCTAAACACAGCGGGGAGCCATTTTAAACAGTGGGCGGCCATTTTGAAACCCAATGATCAGCTGTTTTCTGATCGTCATAAAGCAAAAAATCAGTTCCAGAGGCAGGGAACTGATCATCGTAAAGCGCATTTTCCCTATCTAAACAGTTTTGTGATCGCAAAAGCGATCACAAAAACACATCGTTAAGCGATTTCCTCATCTAACGAGGTAATCATCAAGCAGGGCACCACTGTATTCTCAATTGGAATATTGTTCTTACTTAAGTAACTTTTTACTTCTTCAAAAATAGACAGAGCTTTAGTGTCCATTTTAATCCTCCTGGCAAAAATGTATCTTCCATCAGTTCATTACAGTTTTAGAAACTCACATAAGTAAGCCATGAGAAGAGTGTCATTACCTTGTAAAGTACTAGTTTCATCTAATTGTAAAGAGAATTTATTGGAGTGGATTGAGTTGACCAATCCTTTTTCAATGTCATGTGCCACCTCATCAATTCTTCTGGCAACAGTAGAGTAATTCAAAGGAATTTCCTGAATTTTTTCCTTGGCACTCAAATTCATGACATTATATTATTATGGTTACTGAAGACAGGATAAGTGACTCACCAATGTTGTGAGCATTTCTAGTTTTAGTGATCAGTTCATTAAATTTGTATGAGGCAACTGTGATGATCAGAAGGAGAGTGGGATTTGTAGTCAGAGAAAATGGAGACTGTTAGGTTCAAAGTGGTACAGAGAGAACTGTGATAACAAGGCAAGGATGAAGAGGCTCAGTGAAACTCAAACATGCATATTGTCTTAATTGGCAGCGAGACAAGACACCTGGACTTCATGAGAATACTGGGCGGAGAGTCGTGTTAAACCTCTTTGCAATTAATTGGCTTACAGCTATTGAGTGTAAAAAGCAGGAGGTCTTAGAGATGTAAGAAAAGATGAATAATGGAATGTGTTAAGAGAATCAAGTATTGGATGGATTGTGTTATGGGATAGAATGCTTACAGAATGTAGCAAGGAAAATCGGTTTGTCTTTTTAAAACCAGAAGGAGGAGGGGGAACAGCCCATCCTGGAAACTACAATGATTACTTAGCTTAGTTTTTACTGTTTCTTATTTTAATAAGAAATAGCAGCTTTATTTAACTATTGTAATCTTTTGGATATGTTTTTATGCTCATGCTTTTACAAATAACTGCTTTTCTATTAATCTTTATTTTCTTAATAAATAATTATAAACTCAACTGAGGACTAGTCCCCTGAAGAGTAAGATTACACTTAAATCCAGTGGATTGGAATAGATCACTAACTGGCTACTAAGAGAGGTCCTACCTTGCAGAGCTGTTGTGTATTCTGAGGAAACACAAAGCCCATGCTTACGTAATTGCTTTAAGAGTAAGCAAAAGTTTTGTTTTTACGGTTAGGCTTGTCTATGAGGCTTATGCTACACACTTCTGAGGCATAGAGGACCTACCTCAGAGAGAAGATGGGAGATTTGTGCCCACAGTGACTCCCTGTCTGAACCTCCTACTCTCTTTAGGGAGAGCTTGAGCATCAGAGCAACAATTTCTGTGATGTTTGAGTAAGAATTTGTTTCAGCGTTGTCCTTCAATTTTCTTCTCTGGATGCAAAGTGTCTAAATTGTTTTTTTTCCCCAATTTGCTTGGCATGCTTTCATTTAAAATGTAGTCATGCAGATCCAATACATAGGCAAAGATGGGTTTTGTGTAGATGCAATGAAACCATATGTTAAGTATTCCACAAAATACTGTAAACATTTTTTTTTGCTAAAAGAACTCATGGGTAGAATAATTTCTGAAATTAATAAAAGAATAGGAAAATGATTAAAAAAGAAAAAATGAACAAATACTGTCTACTTGTGTATAAGTCAAGCAATTTAGATCTTAAAATGTATCCTAAAAACCTGGGTTGACTTATCCACAAGTGTATATGGTATATCTGGTATAGAGGCAGAGAGAGGCACATGAGAGAAAGAGCGTCCTACCTCCTCCTGCCGCTTGTCCCATCACGCTCCACTTTCTGACTCACTCGGCTCACTCTCCTCACTCCACAAATACACAAACCATTACATATGCACCCACCTTCACGGATTGCTGCCTAGTCGTGGCGAAGGGGCTTGAGTAATTCAGAGAAGCTATGGGCTATGCCATGCAGGGACACCCAAGATGGACAGGTCATAGTGGAGAGTTCTAACTAAATGTGATCCACCTGGAGGAGGAATTGGCAATGCCACTCCAGTATCTTTGCCAAGAAAACCCCATGGACAGAAATAAAAGGCTAAAAGATATGACATTGGAAGATGGACCCCTCAGGTGGGAAGGCGTCCAACATGCTACTGAGGAAGAGCGGAGGACAAGTCCAAGTAGCTCCAGAGCTAATGAAGTGGTTGGGCCAAAGCCGAAAGGACACTCAGCCGTGGACGTGCCTGGAAGTGAAAGGAAAGTCCGATGCAGCAAAGAAAAATATTGCATAGGAACCTGGAATGTAAGATCTATGAACCTTGGTAAGCTGGATGTCGTCAAACAGGAGATGGCGAGAATAAACATTGACATTCTGGGCGTCAGCGAACTAAAATGGACGGGAATTCAATTCAGATGATTATCGTATCTACTGTTGTGGGCAAGAATCCCCTAAAAGGAATGGAGTGGCTCTCATAGTCAACAAAAGAGTGGTAAAAGCTGTACTGGGATATAATCTCAAAAATGATAGAATGATTTCAATACGAATCCAAGGCAGACCTTTTAACATCACAGTAATCCAAGTTTATGCACCAACCACACATGCTGAAGAGGCTGAAATTGACCAATTCTATGAAGGCTTACAACACCTTCTAGAACTGACACCAAAGAAAGATGTTCTTGTCATTATAGGGGATTGGAATGCTAAAGTAGGGAGTCAAGAGATAAAAGGAACAACTGGTAAGTTTTGCCTTGGAGTTCAAAACCAAGCAGGGCAAAGACTAATAGAGTTTTGTCAAGAGAACAAGCTGGTCAGCACAAACACTCTTTTCCAACAACACAAGAGGCAGAGGAGAAAGAACGGCAGTGCCAAAGAATGCTCCAACTACCTTACAATTGCACTCATTTCACACATTAGATGGAGAAGCTCTATACAGTCAGCAAAAACAAGAGCTGGAGCAAATTGTGGCTCTGATCATCAGCTTCTTATAGCAAAACTCAAGCTTAAACTGAAGAAAGGAGGAAAAACCACTGGGCTAGTCAGGTATAATCTCAGCCAAATCCCTTATGAATACACAGTGGAAGTGAAGAACAGATTTAGGGAACTAGATTTGGTGGACAGAGTGCCTGAAGAACTATGGAATGAGTCTTGTAACATA